ATATGCTGCTGCTTCAAACTGCCTATTCATACTAGACCACTGAAACAGATAAGTTGTTGTTTAACATACCCCTCAATTTACCATGCAAAGTAGTTATTGTCTTTTCATTTTCACAGTCAGTGGTGTTTTTTTTTTTTTTTTTAAGTAACAGAATTAAAGACATAACTGTAAACAATTTATTTCATTACATCTCTTTCATCATTGTTAATCTGTTTGGGGAAGGCAGATGAAAATGTCTATTTCCCCCATCTATCCAGCCCTGACACAGGATAAATAGTTTCCCAGTAATTCAGAGTGTAGGAGTTGAAACTGACTTTTGTACACTCATAAAGAGACTCTGAACAGCCAGGACAAAGAATTGGTGGGGCTGAGGCACTTCAGAGTGTCTTGGGAATGTAGTGCTTCCTCTTGCACAGACTTCACCAGGGGACTGTTACTGCAGCCTTTCATTTTTTGAATTAAAATTCACCTCTGTGCAAGTATAGTATGTCCTGTTTTTAGAGTGTTAGTTGGAGCTGAGATGTACATAGGCCTCAGGTGACATTGCTGATCCTCTGTGCTCTTATGTATCTCTTCTTACAGCATATGTGCATTCTTCTCTCTTACTGTTCCAGAAGTATTTGGGTGGATAAAGTCTTATTGAAATAACAGTCTCAAACATCTGGAAATGTTGAAATCAAAATGCTGTTTGAATATCTGTCTCTGACCTTAATGTTGCTTAAGTGAAACATTTCTCCACAAAATCCAAAAAATGCACCGTAATATGATACATTTCTAGTGGCAGAGAATTTGATGTGACTGTCATGACTCATTCTGTGTTTTGGAAGTTTTTTTGTAAGAGCAGAAATGATGTATTTTCTAAGTTACTCTCTGACATAACCGGTGAGGAGTCTAGGAATCTGTTTTAATAGATGGCTGCAAACCTGAGTAATTAAAACTCCACTGGGAACATGAAACATACCAGTTCACAGAATTTTCTTCTAGAAGTCTAATTTGACACCAAAGAACTGTGGTAACACTTTGAAATCTACATTTTCTGTGCTAAACTATTAATAAGTAAAACACTTTGACTAACAAATACATTTAGTTTAGTGAAATTTTCATGCATTTTTAGTCATGCACAAAAGCAAAGAAGATTTTGTACAGGTGATCTGCTTGCTCTTTGACTTTCCCCATTGTTGTGATGCTTCATCTGTTGAATTCTCAGTTCTTAGGATTTCTAACAGGGTTTATGGAGTAATCCTTTTAGTGTCCATCTCCCTTTAGATCTCACTTCCCAGAAACTTTTGAACTCAAAGTTCATTTCAGACAAATTTAACAGGAAGGACTGATCCCATAGATAGTTGTTTCCTATAGCTGATATTAAAACAAGCAGTGCTTTAGAGGAGTAGAGAAAGACAACAGTGTGTGGTTTGCTGGTCTTGAACAAACTGCAGAGAATCCACATGAAAGACTAAATACATTAATTTGTTAAGCATGGGAAAAGTTTCAGTAGGGTGGGAAAGCAACTTCTACTAAAGGCTGCAAGCCTGAGAGAGAGACCCATTGAAAACCACACAATAGTAATTCCTCTGATTATGGAGGCATAAGGAAGAACCAAATAGTTCCTTATTCTTAAGATATGTAGGGAAGCTGTTCCTGTAAGGCATACTTCCAGGCAGTTATTTCATCCTGTGAGCCACTAATGATAAAAATGTCTGTTGCGTAGGATCTAACATATAAATGTGATTCTGAAAGCTTCTGAATCTGAATTGACATCACATTTGTTAATGTTCTCTTTATATACCTAGCGCCACAGTAGTCATGGTTAGCAGGGAAATTAACATCTACAGACTAGAAGATTATAGTTGCCGAAGGATAAACTGGATTTGACTTCATTAGTGCACAAATGATAAGTTTGTGAGGAGTTATTATAGCATTAATCAACTTGATGGATTGGAAATATGACAGGACTGAAGCAGCATGTAATATTAGTGCCTATTATTCTACAAATTATGTCTTCACCTACATTTATAAGGCAAGAGTCATTGCTGTACATTAAAGATATTACAGACTTTCTCCTCTGGTGGAGGCATGTGACATCCCTTCAGTGATTCCTCCTCTTCTCTTCCCCCAGTGGGGTTCTGGTCCTTAGCCACGTATTTTCATCCTGCAGCTGATCAAAGATGGCTTGGGAGCTGATACATGAATTTAGCTTGCACCTTATGAACCTGGACATTTTATGTGGCAGTGTGCATTTAAAATTCTCGCACCATGAGAAAAAAACATTTCATACTCTAAACTTGGAAGAAAGAGAGCAAGTAGAAATTGAAAGATATGGAACAGATAGAGAACGGGTACTTAATTTTTTGATTTCCAGAGGATTGCACAGACTTAGTGTGTGTAACTCCGGTATTATCCAACATGATCTGCTGTTCTGAATACATGCTGCAAAATATTTTTTCTAGGATATAAGTAATACGTGAATGTTAATGTGTAGTTGATTGGTTTAACATCCAGTCTGTATGGTTATAGTAAAATAAATTATTTTTTATCTGGTCTGTGTACAAAAACTGAAAGTCTCAGTTGAAGACTTGTTAGGGAGTGTCCACCTTGTCCAAACACTTAAAATTGTGACCTCCCTCAGGAAACGATCAGGTGCCAAGTACAGGGGGTATTATCCATTAATTTTCTTAGAACTGCTGAAATTTGGACTTTAAGGTGTACTAATAATGAAGGCTGAGATTTTCATGTGGTGGTTTTGTCCTTGGTTCATTTACTTGTCAAAAGGCATGTCAGTATGCAGGTAAGCTGTACATGAGTGAATACCAAGATTTTAAACTACCCTTGTCATTTCCTTCCCTCAAGTTGGGTGTGTACTTCTGTGTACTAAGGCTGTGGGATGAAGACTTCATATGACTAATAAAATGAGGGTCAGCACATACGGTTCCTTAAAATCTGTGTGTGATGGATAGAATGTGGAAGGCAAATTTAAGCCAAAAAGGGCAAACAAGTTACAAAACTACTAGTGTTTTAGTTTACAGCATGGATATGGCATACCTTAGCAGCAGTATGGTTTGGGCTCTGTGTGCCAAGAGGCTGTTTTATATGTATATGTGTCTGCACAGCTGCATATAGCTGTGTATCAAGATAAGACTGGAATTAGTGTTTGAATTTCTTGACATATACCTAGCTCTTTTGTTGGAAAATGAAGAGTTACTTTTGTGGGCTGAAGTATTTCAGCCACGTGCTTGCTTAAAAACAAGCAACTTTTGGTTTGGGCCTGAATCAAAAAATTAGATATAAATCTGACATTTCAGTCTGAAGAGGGTGAAGCAAAAATTGTCAGTAGAAATGGGACCGTGCAATTTGAAATTCTCTGTACTATTCTGGGCATGTAAAAAGGATGTTTTCATTGGTTGGCTGGAGTATTTATGAGGTCATTGTACCTTCCTGATTTAGTTACTTCTGTAAGTATCTCAGAGTCCACCACTGATAATTTTTTTAAAGTACAGTAATAACATTCTTAATTTCCTCATACCATTTGCTCTTGGAAGACTTTGGTGGACCTGAAGAAATATTTATTAGATACATTATTTTAAACAGTTAAAGCTGTAGTTCTGCAGACTGCTGTCTTAGTCTCTTTTCATTTAAAAATGAAGTAGGTGTACTTCCACCTCAAGAATTTTTACTCCAGGGCAAAACTTTAATGGAGGGGTGTAAAACCAATAACTGCTACAATAAAACATAAAACATTTTTTGGTGACACTTAAATGTGATTAGTTGCTTTCTCATGCCCATACTAGTATAGCATACTAGTATAGCTTTGATAGGCTGTGTGCTGTAATGTTAGAGGTAGTGACCTTTGAAAAACTGTGCAGTATTACAAGCTTTACAGTTCTATGTGGCTTCCATAAAAGTTAATACTTTGTGGGTATAAAAAACAAATAATAGTTAGAAAATTGTGCATTTTTTCTTTGAGTTCTAGAGCAAAGTCACAAAGAATGACCTTTCTGAAGCCAGTGGCATATTCTGTTTGAACCATATGTAGTTATTAATAGACATTATCGCTTTGAAAAAAAAAATTGGTGATTACAGCATTAATTTTGTTTACAAATAGCTAGTTTGGGTAGAACAAAAGGTCTGAATTGGTATTTAAAAATAGATCTTTAATCAGACATTAGCAAGGAATGTAATGGAGACAAAACAATGTGATGACCTATTATCTCAATGTTACCTTTAGCAGCAAATCAGTAGTCATTATTATTTTTGCCTTTCTGTAAGTTCAAGTGGTGTATGATTGATTAAGTGCAGTGGTTCTCAACTGGAAGATATGATAGTCTTGTAATTCCTTGCTTTAAAAAAAAAAATAAAAAATTAACAGCTCTTCAACTGTTATGAACAAGTCATGATGCATTTTTTAAAATGCATGTTGACATCCCCATTTTACAGTTGATCAGTACATCATTTAAGGCAATAAGTTGTCCCAGTTGTCCTGGTGGGTAGGTTTCTGAGATGCCCAAGCATCTGGCTTTGTGGGTGTTACATAGGACCAGTGAGGACACAAATGTAAAAGGCAGAAAGCTTTTCCATTTCTCCAAAGCCTTCTTCACACTCGATTTGAAGGTTTGTGCCTCTCTCCAATGTGTCTTGTTCTGTTGTTTCCAGAATTCTTTGTTTAGTACCTTAATAAATAGTTGCCCAAATTGTCATTAGGGTGGGGAGAAAATAGCTGCTTTAGCTGCTTGAGGATTACAAGGCCATTCCCTAACATAGGTTGAATTTTAGCTTTTGGTAAAACAGTGAATTTCAGAATTCAGTTTTCTGATCTGTGTTGGGCCTCTGTGAGCAGGACAGAAGTATGGGAGAAAGGAGTGACAGTGGGACATTTTTAGGGCAGGTTAAATCTTGCATCAGCATCTTGGCAGTTTGAGTTCTTGCTCTAGGTGACATGTGTATTCAGTTAGCATCTGCAATCACACTTGTTTGGCTTGCTTAATTAATTAATCTTCTTTCCACAGCCGCAGAGCCTTGGCCTGAAAATGCTGCATTGTATCAGCAACTAAAAGGTGGGTACGCTGGTTTTATCAATTAATGATGACTTTATTTTTAGAAAACACATTAAATATGTACTAAGATAATTAACTGCGAGGAAGCACAGAAACTGTTAGAAGAGTCTTTTGTGTTTGGTCACAGGTTTTAGCTACGCTTGCATCTGCCAATAAAAACCAGCTATTCATGGCCTATGAGGTCCTTGGTTTATTATTGACTCATTATATTGGCTGCTGTAGGCAGTGTAAAATGATGTGGTTGCAGGCACAGTTGGCAGATTTACTGCACCAATAGCTGAGGCAGCAGATTTTTGAAGTCTTGTGGTAAAGTGGGCTCTCAGTAAAAAGGAACTGTTAAAATGTATGGGCTAGGATGGTTCAGGCTCCCTTTAGCAGCTCTTCATATATCATCAGATCACATTATGGCCCCCATTTGGGGCTCAGCAGCCTGCTACAGTTGTCAGAAGACTGCAAAGTAATGAAGACTAATAGGTAGCAGCCCTAGTCTTCTAAGCATGGAATTTTTATTGCAGTGAACTTGTCATCTTTCTTTTGTGTGACAGACCTAGACACAGTGTGCCATATTAACTGCAAGCTGCTTTTATAGGTTTCTGAATGCTTTTACTTTTTAGCCAGAGGAGTTATGAAGATGCAGCTTTATTTAACTTTGATTAGAAGAAGAGTAATTGGCATAAAACTCAAGCATTTCGTTTTTACTTGTGACCTTTTTTATTGTACATTGTTGGTAATGCATGATAAATGCAGTTGCATTTCCAGGAAAATTATTCCTGGTATTTTTTTTTTCCTCTTTCCTTTTCATATTCATATCACAGGTTTTCTAATCCAGCTGCATCATAATTACATGTGTGCTCCTTTATACGTAAGAAATGCAGCCCAGAATGATTTACAGTTACAAGTCAGTAGCTAAATGGGCACTATTTTTTTGTAATTTTGTTTTTTCCTTCTTTCAACAGAGGAACAAATTTTGCTTTCTGATAATGCATCTTCCCTTGCTGTTCAGGTAAAATGTCATATTTTCTAAATTAAAGATAATAATTCCTTTTTATTTTTTGAATGATTATGTAGCTAAAGTGACTGTATTTAGCTAAATTAATAATATAAGACTTTGTCAAAATAAATTACTTATTTCCTGCATCTGATGTGCTCCACATTGCCATAAGTCCAAAGCCAAAAAGGACATGAGGATTTTGAGAGTCATGGTGCTGCTGTTTGTAGTTGTATTTGTATTGGTCTGTGTTTGTACAGTATCTGCTTGTCTGCCTACTCTGGGAGCTGTGCATGGTTCCATCTTCTGTCACTTGGTATGCGGGTTCATCTTGTAACGTGTGGCACGATGCTTGCTGGTTATTTAATTCTCACAGTTAATACTGCCCCAGACTTGAGGCGTATTTGCTACCTGCTGTGGGCATCAAATGTCTGTATGTCTCTGATAGGTTTTCTCAATTTTATTGTGTATACTGAGTTGAAATCCAACATGGTTTTTAGAAAAAGTCCAGGTAATTGACAAATGGCTGTGAAGTTCTTTGTAACCTCCATTAACCCATAAGGTTCAGTAACCCCAAATCTTGAGGGGATGTTTTCCCCATTAGTAGAGATGGCCTGGCTGTCAGAAGTAGTGTTGAGCAAAGATGTCTATGAAATTCTTGCTGTTCAAAGAAACTTTTCTGCTGCTTTGTGTAATAGGGAGTTACACTTTTCTCCTGCTTTTTGCCTTTTGTGTGTGGTCTGTCTAGCTCAGAGCAGCTAGAGCAAGTTGTCTTTGAGAGCTATTAAAAAAGACCATGTCTCTTTTAGCCAAAGTGGGACACTTGGAGACTGCGAGTGAGATGACTGGTGAAAGGTTAGGATCATTTGATTGTGGTAACTACTTCCAAGATCTCTAACTTCTTTCCTTCCAGTCTGGCAACCTGGGAAATACCTCCAACAGTAAATACTGTCACAGCAAGAAGGTACCTTTATCCTGATGGAAAGATGAGAAATTTTTGATACACTAAATAAATAGGGCAATGTTTATTTTTTTGGGCAGTGTGTTTTATGTCTTGCCTCCCAGTAATGCAATTAAGTGTTTTTGTTGCTCACTAGATGTCAACGTTTCTTTTTAGTCCAGAAACTGTATCTTCTGTGGTTCTTATGTTCTTACCATCTAACAGTGCCTATAGGTGTGGCTTGTATTTAAAACACAAAGAAACATCAATATAACCCTAAAATTTCCTTTTCTGATGCATCATTTTGCTTTACTGTTTCCAGTCCATTGTTATCCTACACCTGTCACTTAGATGATAAATTAACTATACTATATTAAAAATGCTTGGTTTTCTTCAATATTCTCTAGTGGGACAGCTGATAGTAGCCATGACTATAAATATGGCTTAGATATCTGATCTTAAACTTTATAGAACAATTTTGTATTGGGGAATCATATCTATTTTGAAGAATCCATTGTAACATGGTTGTGACTACAAAAGAATAGCTATCCTTGGTGTCTTTGATTCATTTTGAAATGATACTAGGATCTGTAGTTACGTATTACTACCTTAGTGATCAGGAAGCTTTAAATATACCAGTGTGTTTTGCATAAGGAAATTGCTGAGATCCTGTGTTTTAGAATCTACTTTTTATTCTGATGAGAACCTGTCTTATCTTTTTACTGGGTATCTTTTTGCATTTTTTTTGTTTTGTTCTTTGTTTCGGTTTATAAAATTTATTTATTTGTTATTTTTTGGTTTATTGGCTGAGGGTTATTCTCCTGAGTAAGAAATGGAAATGGGAGATAGGAGGAGAAATAGGAGATGGTACCAAGGACTTCCCCATTCCCCCCCTCCTCCCCCATTGCTGTTCTTTTTTCTCCTGTTACTGATTTTGGGCACATGAATGTAATCAGAATAGATATATAGCTTGTTCCTGGCTTGTTGAACCTCCATGTGGTGAAAATGCAGCAGCATTTTGAGTCCCTCTGTTCAAAAGACTATGTGGAGTGAGCCACCATCAGATCTTTAAGGAACATGGTTCACAAGGTGATTATAAATGTGCTGCAACTAGTCTTTCAGATCTTTCTCAAGATCTGACAGCACCTCTTCATAGTTCTGCTCTGGGATAGCTCTTAGAGGACATATATGCAGATAGCTACATATAAAATAAAGATTAAAATCCAATTCCATAGCAAGTCATTAGAGTAAAAATTGTCTGTTTTAAAACTGATATCCGTGCAATACAGAGGGCATTTCATGTACCTCTTGTCAACAGAGCAGATCAAACAGACAGCAGAACAAATTACTTTTAAGTGTGAGTGTAACAGACTATTGTAGGTGTTCAACTTAATGAGTAGTGAGGGCTGCAGACTGAACACAGAAAGTTGGTTGAGTCTTGCTGTTTTAGTAATCATTGGACTTGCAACTTCTCATTGTGCAATGAGATCTACAGCTACATGTTAGATTAGAGAGGGGAGGACAGAGACTTCTGGGAGTTGCTAAGTACCTGTGATGGTGCCTTCAATAGTTAAAAACCAACCAAACCACTCGCCTCCCCCAAATTTCCTTTCATCTTGTGGAACTTCTCTGCTGATTCTGGTAGGGTTTTGTTCATGTTTGTTTTTTAATTCCTCTTTTGCTCATTGTTGTTCTTGGAAACAGAGTAAATTAACAACTCCTTTGTCTTTTACTGGGTTCAAATTTCCTTTATTTGCTGAAACTGCAACATAACTTCAGATGACCTAGTGCATTATCTCTGGTACATCGTGGTGTTTGCATTCCTTGTTGGTTACCTGGAAGTACGTGACCATGCAGTCCTGGTGAAAGTGAAGCCCATTTGATCTTAGGCTGCAAAATCTTGATTTGACTGAGGTTTTATTTTCTCTGCAAAGAAATTAAAATAAAGGGAAAATATTGATCAGTAATGGTCATTCTGCTACAGCAAAGAGAACATTGTTTTTAGAATGAAGACTGTATTCTTCTTGTAAGATGTTCAGCCCTGTTCCCATTAAAGTTAATGAAAACATATACCTCATAGGTAACATGAAGCATGGTTAAAACCATTCTCTACTTATTTAAATTTCCACTATATAGGATTCCTGCTTATCAGTCTTACCATATTAAAAAAGCCACCAAAACTCAGAAGCAAATACGCAACTGTATTTTAATAACAAAACAGCTCCACAACTTCAAGGATGGAAAAAATTAGTTTTAAATAGATGAAAACTGAATTAACACAGAAGAGTGTATTTCAGTCTGAAGCAGAGAGCCTGTTGACATCCAGTAAGACCTTTTTGTTTAGTGCCTGGGTGGAAGTGATGTTGCTGAGAAGGAGGGAGGGGGTTAATGCATCTGTGCTGTGCCAGGCCTCTTGCCTCAGATGGCAGCAGGAGCATCTCTGTGCACTGTTCCAACTTGTCAGGAGGAGGAATGCAGATGTTGAGAGTGCCTCTGTTATTACAGGTTCTTCTGAAACCTTTATGCAGCTGGTCTCAGAGTCTTGCTTAAAAGGCTGTCTAAAATGTTCAGGATTGTGGAGATTCTCGTAGCTATCCTGAGGTTATAGAGCCTGCAGCTCATTATGTTAAGATATGAATTAATTGTTTGTGCAATTGATGTCCTTGTAAATGGTCTTAATATATTCCAGGAAAGTGCATTTAGAATTGCCTGTTCTTAGTCCTGAATGACAGAAGGATGTTTGGGCAATTTAAAATTGTGTTACACAGACCAACTGCTTATTTACTTCAACAAGTAATCAAATAAATGTGTAAATCACGCATGATTAATTGCCCTTGACAGATCTGTAATTTTTTTGGTGTGTCTGTGTGTATGAATTGTGGTTTGTTTTTTCTCCAGACAAAACATTAGCAGAAAATTGAACTTGTTGCTGGGGCTTGAACAAAGGCTTAGTACTGAAATGAAAATCTGACGATTTCTTTTTTTTAAAAGAGAATAAAAGCTGGAATTCTTCATGATGAGAAATGCAATATCAACATAATCAATCTAGCAGCTTTGTGTCGTAGCTGAAAACATGCTTAAATCCCAGGCCATAAAGGTACTGTTTGTGAGCGAAACATCTTTCATATAGTTCTAAGATGAAATTACCCCTGAATGAATAGCATCTTCATTTATCTTCAAAAGCACTGTGCTACCAGTGAATGTACTCTTTCTGCGTTCTACAACAAGAATTACATTACACCATTAGAGCAGTGTTGTGCTGCAGTGTAAAATAGATTGTTTTGGAGAATGGACGTGGCTTTGCTATAAATTACATTCACAGGTACAAAGGAATTTGTTATTTTGTTTAAAATAGTCACAAATATAATTAAGCTCTTAATTTATGTTAAACTACAAATGTGGCCATTACCATAACTGGATTAGGAATTTAATCTGTCATTCAAAGAATGGTACTGAACAGTTTTCATTTATAACCTTAGACACACTATTTCAGTTACAGGGTCTGCAGCTGTTTGATATGAAAACTGAATTATTCTGTAGATTTGTTCATGGTTTTTAATTTTAAAATGTGTTCCTGCAGTAAAGTAGAGAATAACTCTGTAGTTGTCATCACATATCATCCTTTGTATGCTCATGAAATAATGTAAAAATGAAAACAGAAAACACCTTTCACCCTTGCTTCACAACAGTATTGTGTGAGGGCTTTTAGAAATGCTGCTGAATAAGAGATGGCTTGGAATGGCTCGTTTTTTATTAAAAACTAATCATGAATATATCTTCTTTGAATGCAGCCTGGAGTGTGCCATCTGAAAAAAAGTGTTCCTCATGTGGGGATGTAAGTTGTGAACTATTTGAGTCTTGGCATAAGTAATTTCATTCTTGCCTCTGATCTCAGAAGCTGCAATCTGGATATGATTTACATCAAGTTGTAACTCATTTTTAATGAGTATATGTGTTTGCTCATATGTATTATTCTGAGGAGGGACTGGAGGGGAAGAGGAGAGTGTTGTGATGGATCTCTGACAGGCTGATTCACTGCCTGATGTGTGTTAAGTTTCCAACTGACAGTGTCCAA